ATATATTAGATGTTGTTATATAAGGAACATTTTTTTTCTGTGTGGTTTTTTCCCTAACTTCCCTCATCAAAAAGATGTGTGCTCGGGTTATCAGGTTGATTGTGTGTATATTCTGAATCCATTTTAGCATAAAAGTATAATCTGTATAGTGATGTTGCTAAGTAACATGACATGAAAGCCATTGTTAGAATGCATTGTTACCAAAATGCACTGGTTTTTCTATATATATTAGAAGTTGTTATATAAGGAATCATTTATTTTCTATGTGGTTTTTCGTTAGCTTACCTCACAAAAAGATGCACATGGATAAGTAATAATACGCAGTTGCATACCCTCAGGGTCCACTTAGTATAGGTGCAAAATTTCAGGTTTCTAAATTCTTTCATCTTAAAGCTATGGCGGTCACACATATACAGACACACATGTGTAAGGAACCACTTCTTTTCTATGTGATTTTTTGCTAGCTTGCCTCATAAAAAGATGCACACATGCATGCACGTCATCAAGTAATAATACCCAGGTGCACACCCTTAGGAACCACTTAGTATGGGTGCAAAATTTCAAGTTTTTGGGTCATTCCTCTTGAAGCTATGGTGGTCACATACACAGAGACACAAAGTGCACATGTGAGTGCCTGTCTGTCTATGTGATTTCTATTTGTCATATAAGGAACCACTTCTTCTCTGTGGTTTTCCGCTAGCTTGACTCATTAAAAAAAATGCACACATGCATGTATATAGGTAATACCCAGGCACACACTGTCAGTATGGTTGCAAAATTTCAGGTGTCTAGGTTCTTTCCCCTTGGAGCTATGGTGGTCACACTTCTTTTCTATGTTTTTTGCTAGCTTGCCTCATTAAAAAAATGTGCATTCATGGATGCACATATATAAGTAATAATACCCAGGTGCACACCCTCAAGGTCCACTTAGTATGGGTGTAAAATTTCAGGTTTCTAGGCTCTTTTCTCATGGAGATATGGTGGTCACACATACCCACAGACATGCCCTTTTAATATTATAGATGAATAGTAAATTGTATAACATGCTGGTAAACTCAAAATTAAATTGATGAAATTATTAGGATGTATGTATTCACAATTTCTGTTAAGAAGCAAGTTAAAATACGTTTTAGATTAAGAATATTATAGTGAAAAGTAAGCATTTTTGACTGTTTTTAAATGAACATTTACATGCTATGGTGTGAAGCGTGTAGGGATCTACATTAGGTGTCTCTCCATATATAAAAGAACACTTACTATCAAGAATACATCCAACACTGCAATCACTTATCAATAGTTTGTAACACTGATGCAAATTTTTATTATTTAGGTTTCCAGATGAACAATAATTCAGGATACATTATAAATCTCTTAATAGCTTTACACAAACCATCTCTGACCCATCAAAGTTCAGTTGCTTTGTTACTTAGAAATTGTAGTGCAATTGCACAAGTTTTTTTAGTGTGTTTATTATATTTGGCTTTATCACTAAAAAATAACAACATCTGATTGCAGTGCACTTAAATTGAAGTGAATAGATATGTTTGTTTTTACTTTTACTGATACAGTATTCATTTTAAACTAATTTTCTGTCTCTCCAGTCTTTAGCATATGATGTGCACAATCTAGCCACTCCCTCAATTCAATGGTTGGGGATTCATCCTACTGACATAGAAAGGTATGGACTTAGTCAAGTTTCTATAACTTGATTGAACATGTTAAAAGTATGGTTAATGCAATAAAGAATTAATTTTATCAATTTAAATTTTTAAAGAATCTGTTATGACTTCATTGGTTGAAGTTATAGCTCAGTAGATTTAAAGTTTATAGACAACTTTCATTTTTAAATATAGATACATACATGAATGAATCTAAGTTTCAAATGGACAGCAACTGCCTGTTGTAGAAAACTACAACTGTAGAATATGATGTTTCGAAAGTCTTCCACCTTTCGTCTGCCTAAACAACCTATCAAAGATTAGATACATACATTTATAATTGAAAAATTTCACACAAAGTATGTAAAAAATGCTGTTTAATATCTTCTTTTCATATGAAAGACATTAGCTATTTTTGACGTAACTTGACAAAATTCAAGATATTACATGAATATTTTTTACATTTACAAGTTTAAAAAATTTATAAGAATATCTTTCAAACTTATTTAAACTAGAAATATAATAGCTGACAAGTAAACTATGAATGATGCAATTACATTACTATTGTTAAGTTTAATGTATAATGATTATAATCAGTAAAAAAATGAATATATTAACCTTTTATATTCGATTCATATACTTGTGGGGATGTGAAAAGCACTTATTTTATAAACCCAGTGATTTTTGAATTTTTGTGTTGTGTGATGATTGCATGAAAAATGAATATATACAAAAGTATGCAGGATACATTTACCTCATTTGGAACAGTTGGTTAGTACAGCTTTAAAGATAAGAGAATACAATGTTATTGGTAGTTGGCTATTTATTATGATATTTTACTATTACTAAAATTTCTGAAATACTGGCAGAGAATGGGCTAATGTGACTCAAGAAAATTATGGTAAGAAGGGGGGGGGGGCAATAGGACAAACAAGAAGGGTCTCTAAATTATGCGAGTCAAAAATAAAGTTGATTCTAACACATTTACCTATGCCGAAAAAGCCCGTTGACAAGAGCAAATATTTTTAGCTGTATAAAAAAGAGGTCTTTATGATCCCTATTTTTTGTGTAGGATCATGGGAAGAATTCCAATGAATATTAACAGTATATCTCTTGCATCATGTCATTAGTGATTCCCTGAGTTCAAATCTCCATTATTCATCTTCTACACTATCAGATCATCTTCTGTGGTATTCAGGTACACTAATGTCATGGAGAAAGTTATAAATATCTGCAATGCAGCAATTTCTGGAAATTTTATGCAGAGAATAAAATGAACCCTGACAGCAAAGGAGAAACAAGTGAATACAAATGAACAAATAAAAATAATCTTTAAAGATTTATTTATGAAGAAAAAATAATTATGTTTTTTAAAAACTAAGTTTTTTTATTTTATTTTTAAAAAGCACTACTTTTTGCTAGTTTTTTTTAGCATCATCAAGTGAATATATTTAAGTAACAGAACAAAACCATCAAGTGATGCATTATTAACAGTGATACTACATTGCTGAGCAACAAAATAAAAGTAAGTCAAACACAATTGCTAAATAAGGAAAAAATTAAATGTAATTTTATACCTGAATACTGGTTAATGCTAGGTTTCTTAATGAAGAGAACTTCTTTGATTTTTATTGTACTTGTAATATTAGGTAATATCAAAGAAGTTTATGGAAATGTTTTGAACATTTGTAAGTGTCAACGATGGTTCAGCAAATTTCGTTCAGGTGACTTTAGCCTTAAAAACTGTGATGACAGGGGCCGACATGTTGGAATTGATATTGATGCTCTGAAGCTCTGAGGCAACACACTCATGAAATGTCTCTGAAATTGCATGTCTCTCATGAAATAATAAATAAACATCTAACGAATATGGGAAACTCCATAATAAAGGTTCTTGGGTGCCTCACGAACTATCCAATGATCATCATTTCCAACATGTGAACATTGCTTCGTCTCTTCTGGCGTGTAATGCGCATGAACCATTTTTGCACAGAACTGTCACTGGTGACGAAAAATGGATTCTCTATGTGAATATTAAATACCAAAAACAATGGCTCAGTACTAAACAAAAACCATTTCCGACTCAAAAACATGGATTCCATCT